TAGATCCACCTGTTCTGCTCCCCACTGTCTCTGGGGAGTCCTCTCACCCCTCCACCACACCTCGGGGTTGTACCCCAGGTCCCCAGTTCTTCCATGCACAGTAAATAAACCTTTAAAAATATAAAAGCCCGCCGTGGTTCTGCATCAGTCTGGGCACCTGGGCCCACGGCTTCATCGATCAGGGCCCGCTGGTCTACCTGTGCCTGTCACCATCCCATTCCCTGAGGAGACAGTGCCAGGTTGCCTGTGATGGCTCTGCGAGGCAGGCCAAGGGAGGGGCGGGAGGAGGAGGGGCGGGTCACCCGGAGGCTCTAGATTTTAAGCTTTTCGCCCTAGAGATCATGTTTATTCCAAGTGGTACATGAACAAGAGCACATTTCTAATTAGAACCAGAGTCCTTCCTAAGCCTCACTGTTGACTTCTTGGGAAAGAAAGTCCCCAGGGAAGCTCGCCTCCTCCTGCCTCCTCCTGCCCCGCCCAGCACGCCGCCTTTTACCCTTAGGGTTCTCTGTGTGGTGGATACTGTGCCCCACAGCGGCAGGGGTAACCCTGTCCACTGCCTACCCGCAGGGCCCAGCCCCCCGTGCAATGCCTGGCTATGGTTGGCACTTAATAAATATTTGTAGAAAAGTCATAAAAGTTATTTATCGACTATCTGGGAGTTTGGAGAGTTCCTAATAAAGCACAATTTCCTTTGAATTTTCTGAACGAGCTTGACAAGCTTAGTACTAGAAAGGAGTCCGGGGCAAGTCCTAATAGTGCTGGGACAGATACTGTCCCAGGGGCCAGCGGAGAGGACCTCTGCTACCCTGGGGAGCTGGAGGAGCACCGTGAGCTTGCTGAAATAACCACCTTATCGGTCCACCTTACTGTCGGTTTGAGTTCACGAGGAACCCAAAAGCCCTGCCATGCATCATGGCTACATTTTAAAGTCAAAGCTACCATGTTTGGGTTAGATGCCAGATTCTATGAGGAAATAAAGCAGTTTTTTTTTCTTGTTGTTACTACCCCTACAGAAGGTAGCCCCCCTGGGAGATTCCTGTGGGGGTCCCCCTGCGCCCTTGCTGAGGACTAGGCCGGACGATCCAGAGGCTGGACTTACCGTGGGGTTTCATTATTGGCAGTAACTCGGTGAGGATATTTCTCGTGGCAAAAAAGTTTGTCTTCAACGTCAGCTCAGCCTGAATGTCAAAAGGCGTTGGGTCATCGACTTTCAAAAGAAAAGGAAACAAAACAAAGGCATGCATTTCCTCGGAAATTCATACACAGCTGCCCTCGTCTCTTAAAGGAAAAGCAATTTGGGGACAGGGGGCTCACACCTCTCAAACTGCAAGGTGTGTCTAAATCACCTGCCGGGGGTGTTAACACAGTTTTGGGGTCCCTTCCCAGAGCTCAGCACTGGGAAGCACAGCCTGAGCTCCAGTATCTGCATTTCCAAGGAACCCCCCAGGCGCCAGAACGCTGCGGTCTGCCTGCCACAATTTCCCAGAAGCTTTGAACGTGGATATTCGACCCTGCGAGTGCAGGGGGTCTGTGAAATTGCCCGGCTACCTCGCCTCACTCCCAGGAGGAGTAAGTCATGCCTCCACCAGCAGCAGCGCCAGCAGCCTGGTGCACAGGCAGGTGCTTGGGGCTGGTGGTGCCCAGGGCGCAGGGCGGGGGGACTTGTGCTCGGCCACAGTTCATTTGACCCCCTTCTGCGGCTAGGGTTCCTCCTCCCCGGAACCCTGGGGTTGTGCCGAAGCTAGCCTGTTTCTTTCTGCCCCAGCTCATGGCAGATGAGTAACTTTCTCAATCCAGTAATAGAATAAACAATCGCCTTGGGGTCCCCTCCTTTTTTTTTTTTGGCAAAGATGCCACTTAAAATCACGCTTAGATGTTTGCTAACATTCTAGTTCCCTGGGGGAGGGAACCACGACTCGCTTCCTCTCCGCCAGAGCCTATCAAAGCTTTCCATTAAACAAAGTCTCAAATCCACTAATGTGCAAGTGGCGCGGGTCGGGTCTCCGGGATTCATTTCCTGTCCGGAGCAGATGCCTCCTGGCATCTATGAATGCGCCTTTTCAAAGAAAGCGAAAGCCCAAAGAGGAGCTTGGTGACCCTTCGCTGAGGTCTAATATTTTTGGCATTAGACAGAAAGCTGGTGAGTTTCGCCGGGCGGGACCTCCCCAGAGGCGGGTTTCTTGCACACTGCAGCCTGAGTGTTGGGGTGAGCCCTGGGCTGTGCACAGGCCCGCACAGACCGGCCAGCGGGAGGGGATCGCGGTGCCCAGGGGCCCGGCCAACCTTGCGCCAAGCGAACCGCACGGACAGCTCCACGGACAGCGAAAACCCACCGCAGGAGGCGCGCACCGAGCGCGTGGCGAGGGCAAGGCGCTGCGCGCCCCATCATCAAGGGGGCGGATGGAGGATGCCTGTCCCGCACCCTCGGGGCTCCCCAGGGACCTCCCACCCCAGCACCTACACTTGAAGGCGATGCCCGCGTTGTTGACCAGCACGTTCAGCCCCCCGTACTCCTGGCGCAGGAAGTCGCGCACCGCGCGCACGCTCTGCGGGTCGTCGATGTCCAGCTGGTGGAAGCGCGGGCTCAGGCCCTCGGCCTGCAGCCGCTGCACGGCCGCCCGGCCCCGCGCCGCGTCCCGCGCCGTGAGCACCACGTCCCCCGAGAACTGGCGGCACAGGTCGCGCGCGATGGCGAAGCCGATGCCCTTGTTGGCGCCGGTCACCAGCGCCACGCGGGTG